TACAAAGTAAAATTGTATTGATGAAATCTCTGCTCCTCAACTCCTCTCCAGCCTTGATGCTATATACCCATCTGAAGCTATTTCCGGTAGAGATTATCTACTCTTAGTTTCCCAAAACTACGTGGGAAAAATATTACATGTGTTTTGTTATGAGACGCTGATTGTGGCAAGCAAGAACTCAAGGTTTAAGGGGAATTAAAGCTGAAGAGCAAAGCTTTTTCTATAAATTACATATAATGAGATTTAAGCGAGTAGTAGCGAAAATGTCTTTGGTGCTTTCATAACGCCAAGCCTCCGTGGGTATGCTAATACAACGCCATATCTCTATATCAGATCACTCGTCACTTGACATGTTGGAGCTTTGAACATCCTGAACATCTTGAACACTCTGATCACCATGTCCCTAGTGAGATATCAAAGCTTGAGTGAGTTAATCCGAGATGTCTCATCCCATTATCCAATGATTCTCATTACTATATTCAGCAGGTTCCAGACTATCAGAAGTTTGACAGAAACTTTGAGTATTCTGTAGCCGATCCTGGTACTACGTTAAATGGTAGAAGATGAAATGGTTAGGGGATCTCTCCCGTCCATATTGACAAGTAAGAATGGCGTTTTCGTGCTGAAATCGTCGATGGTTTTCCGCAAAGTCTTCATGTCCAGATCTTGTAGCTAGCAGATATTTGAGTATATGTCGTCTAAGATGGATGAGCTTATAAGTGATATTGGTACTAGACCTAATACTTAGCTCTCTATACCGAGACGGTGATTTTACAGCCCGATATAGTACGATAGAGGCCTCTTTTTCAACTGGAGAGCCCTACTGCTAAGTATGAAACCTATCTAATGCAAGAAAGTTTATCTGACCTGACTGGTTTAGTTGACATGAGTAGGTGCTTCACTACTCCTGGACACACCAAACGCTTTCTAGAGGACTTGGAGGCCGAGTTTATCATGTGTGCTTTTTCGAGGTTAAATGATTATGAATAAAATAAATATTGCCCTAGACAACAGATTATTTCCGAGATTTAATGCATTTAATACATTTGATAGGGTTGAATTTGCTATTCTTAGGAGCTATTGAAATACCCAGAAGGCAAAACAATTTTTCCAAAACGGAGCATTAAAGTCAAATATACCCGAAAGCTAGTTGGTCGATAGTTTATGCCATGCCAGTCATGCCATAGCCTAGGTCTATTGGGTGTTGATTTAGTTTAGTGCAAAAAGTTTGAAGTCTTTCGAATGATTCTTTATAGTTAAACATAGTTTTACGGAATGTGACACCATGTAGGCAGGTGAATTTAATCCATCTACAACGCGAAGGGTGTGAGGTGTGGCGAGGGATGTAAGTGGAAGGGAATTTTTGTACAAAAATGCAGCGTCAATAAAGGCATAAGTTCTAATTGTTTTCGATTTAAAAAGAATATGACGTTGCAAAAAGAGTGAATTTATTCTTGATTTTGAATAAGAAGAATTGATAGGCTTAATAGGTTTATTGAGCTACTAGGTGGACCATAATCATGACAGTGATTATAGCCTAATCTTTGAACTCCTCTTAAAAGTTATCGTTGAAACAATCCTCCCATAACTCTACTCGGTTGGTTGCCTTATATCTAGCCCTGTTCTCCTCTAACGCATACAGTTATGGGCTCTGTGTGCAGCTTTTCTGCATCGCATGCAGAGCTTCAATTTAAACCTTCGTTCTCTTTCTTCAGGGGTCAACCCAATATTTTGCCTTAGGCAGTATATTTTGGCTATGTCAAGAATCATAGGATCCCCTCCTAGCGGACTTATGTTCGGACCGGTAGCCTCTACCACATGGAAGGGATGGAGATTTATACTCTAGAGAGTCGGGTAACGATTGTGGGGCACCAGACGCTCTAAATCCTATCAGATCACACAATCTTTGCAAAGATCTACAAATTCATCGAATGAATGTGTTTTGTAGATATCTTGGTGTTGCTCGATGCATGTACGTATCTCGTTGGAAAAGCCTTTTCGCATGCGAGGAATCAACGTTTAATTGTCTAAAATACTGGATAAATTATGGAGTAGTTGAAATTCGGCGAGAAAGATATCAAAAGGTCCAGAACCCTGTCTAAGTTGGTCAAGGGCGTCACGAGTGTCCTACTTATTAGCATTTCTGTAGGAGACATCCATAGCTTTCCAAAGTTATTTCAAGAATGCCAAATCGAGTAGGCCTTCTTTGGTCAAGTACAGGTCTAAAATAGACTTTGGTTCCGGGCGAAGATTTTGGTAAATTAATGAAATTTGTGACCTCGCACATAACTATCAGAGCCTTGTGTAAAAGCAACCTAGGCCCGGCGTTGGGTAGACAGATACAGCTTTTTATCTCTACCTCTAGATTTCTCGCTGATTTTGAATATTTCTGACCTCACATGCCCCCGACTGCATACGCAGGATCGGCAAAGTCAGTAGACTGAATTTTCGGATTTTCGATCAAATTTTCTGCGTCGGACAGACGGCAGTGATCGGTATGGCCCAAGATTTCAAAAATTTGATGTTTTCTCCCTGGGTGTTGGATAAGTCAAGACTAAGCTTACTATTGATTGCGCGTTTCTCAGTAAGGTCGCGCGGAGAATTGGTTATTTCAGGTCGTAGTTTCTCATTTCAATTCTGCAAGGTTCGCCTCGATGTGAAGACGTTGATTACTAAGGCTTGACTACATCGTCATCCAGCTAGTGAGTTTGTTGGAAAAACTCTGAGGTGATGTTGAGTTGGCGACAGAAACCATTAAGATATTGTGGGTAGTAGGTCGTGCAACCTATTACTACAAGTGAGGCTGATTGAAATGGGGTAACTAGTAAATTATATACAGGCATAGATGGAGGACATATAACAATATATGTAAAACTTTGTATAAATTATTCTTGGGTGCATCTAACCAGTGATTTATAAGAAGCACTGTAAGCGAGAACCTTTTGGACCGTGACACGTAGGATTAGACTCGGGTCCAGTGGTTATTATTGCCGTTGGATTGACCGGCTTTGTCCTCTTCAAACTACCTCGGCCCTAGATCTTTCAGTGGTTAGGCCTGTGGTCTGGGTGAGACTTGGCATTGGGTTCATAGTCGGCGAGTTGACTGTTGCCGGTCTGATGATTTCTCTAGCGAAAATCCGCATTAGACGTTGTATACTCGCCGTTATCTTTTAACTCTAGGCTATAACCTGCATCAAAATCGGTATGATTGCGTAGCCACTCGTAGCCTGTAGCGGCGCGGTAGCTTGAGGTTGTGTTGAGGGGCTCGATTAGCTTTCAATAATTTTGTCCTGGAGGGCTACTTTTTTATCACTAAATTATATTCAGCTATATAGCTTTAACAAATTATCAGTACTACATGTGCCTGAGGGGCTAGTATATCCTGATCGATGACTTAACGAAACCCTTTCTGAGGACGAGCTCTGCTTCTATCGAAAGCTAAGAATAACCACTGAAGGAGTTGGACAGAGAAATGTCTCGGGTCAAAAACAGGGGCTGTCTATACGTACGTGGGTTATTTACTTCGATCAGTGCTTGTATTCTGTATTTAGAACTGCAGGTTATATATTCCTAGCGCATGTCTATACTTAGAGATCAAGTCAATCATGATCGGTGGATATAATCCTAGAATTTTGGGAGAAATAGGAATTTAGTCGTTTTTGACGAGGTATCTTTTCTTTTAATTACATACACTTCGCCAGTCACAGGTCAGGCTCCCAGTTACCTGACAGTTTCCTCGCAGCACATCTGAAATTTCCTAGTCCGTTTGGCGAGCAAGTTATTCGCGGTGATAACTTTTGGCTCTATTACTTTCCATGGTGAGCCATCAAAGCTCACTGAGCAGGCCGGCTCTGTGATTAAGTATGTGTTTATTAGTAATTATTGTTGTGGCCCACTGCGGATTGGAAGGGGCGTGAGGACCAAGAGCTAGCTTCGGCGGAGGATAGGGTCGGCAACACAGTCAGATAGATGTAAGAAATATTTTATTAGTAGATCGTCGTTGGTAGTAATCCGATACACAATCATGGCAAGTGATGAGCTTTGTAATGTCGAGTGTCAGGTGTCACGTCGAGTCCGAGCTTTCAAGCTATCGAAAGGCTATTTGCAGCTGGAATCGCTTACATTCCGAATGTGGGTATCTAGGCCTATTGAGATGTCGTCGATAGAAATAAGGTTTGTAAATTGATTCTCATATGATAGATTCTGGGAATGAAGTTCGACCCCCCAGTCTTTTCGAGTTGGCGGATAGTGTAGAGATTGTAATTGTCGAGTGGTACTACTTGAGCTCCTCAGATGGGAGATAAGCCCCTTTGTGTTCAGAAAAGAGGGGGTTTTCCGCGCGCGCGTTAGTGTGTGCTCCAACATATTTTCTAGTCTAACCGAGACAGGAAAAATGGAGATCCAAGATCCAATAGATTCCTGTCTGGATTTGTTGATAGTACTTGGTCATACCAGCGACTGTTGTTATTAGGAGATCATGTTTCATTGCGCACGCGCAGATTTTCTATCTGCGAATAAATATATTGTTACGCAGGCACGTTACTCCTTTCAATGAGGTGGGTGCTACGAGCCTAGATTATGGCCATCACAGAGCTAAAAAGTCTGCCATACTATGTGAACTGATCAGCGAAGGTATGGGTAGAGTTGTTTCAACATTATTAAGAATAGTAATAAGATATGATAGTAGTATTAGTAATCGTAACAATATTCCGTGTTGCAACGGCGCAACCAACGGGCGGATAAGGACATATCGCTAGCCATTCCCACCCATTTTATCATCTCACATCAAACATTCCCGACCCAATAGTCCAACAGACAAGTATTTGCGAAGCACTATACGCTACCGGGTATCCAACAGAGAGCACAACGAAGTAAGCGCCGATTTTCCGAAAACATTGATATACATCTTTTCTGCGTCATAACGCCGAGCTAAAAAACCACTCTCATTCCAAGGATCATGGGTCGCTCGCCAAAATATGTGGGCCCGGGATTCGATGGGCTCAGGCCAGGGAGACTTTCCGATTTTGAGTGACCTTATTCCAAAATCTCTTTACAACACTGGCGTCTTTGTCATCTGGACCCCATCCATCCGGCCCACCAAGAGGGCCGCCACAAGAGCCTCGAGCAAAATATTTTTCGGCCGCCTCAGAGAGGACGCGGGTATGGTGAGGCAGCTTAGCATCTTGCCAGGCGTATATTTTGGCTTCGTCCACTCGAAGATCGGGCCGCGTCAGAGTCATTCTTAGAGTTATCTCTCGACTCCCGCAAGAGAGATTGGGAGAGTCTATCTGTTTCACAATCATGGGTCTTATGGCGCCCGGGTGCGATAAGTCTTGTGAGACTTTCGGCGGGCTTACTGTGTTGGAACTGATGCTGTTAGTAGGCTGTTTGCGGCTATCGGGACTCTGTAGGCTAATCTCAGCACACGGAGTTAGCGGAGATTCGGGATCTTTTGTGGAAGCACCGTCGTCTGAGAGAGACGTGGAATCATCAACGAGGAAAGATTTGTCGGCAGTGGTGGTTTGCTGCTTTGGGACGGTTTCGTAGGGCCGAGATGAGAGTGAGTCGATGAATAAGCTGTTTGATCTCAGTCTGTTCCGAGCGACTCTGGATGGTAGATAGTTGGTTTGGGGTTGGGTGTAATTTGGCGAATCCTGCCGTAGGGAGATAGTGTCATTTTTCACGGATGTGCAGGCGCGGACTCGATGCCGGGGGCTCTTTGGGGATAGCGAAGAAGTTTGGCTTTTTTGTTGAGAATGATATGATCGCAGTGACGGGTAACCAAGAGGGGCGGTCTGCGGCTGAGTATATCTTTTTCCCAGTGGTGTTCGATTGATTGATACTTGTCGACGAAACGATGGTTTTCGATTATGCGTCCGCGTTGACAGTGTTGTACCATCCAAGTTGGCATGGTAATCGTCAAGGGCGGACCTGGCGTCAATCTCCGGTTCGTCGTCTATCCAGCGGAAGGTGTCATATATCTCTTTGGAAATGATGTTTGTTGTCCCTATACGCTGATGACGGTTCAGAACACGCGTGTAGTCTTCCGTTGCGGAATGGTCCTTTACATCAATCTGACGAAGCGAAGGCGGTTTAAATTCGAGGGGGGAGAGGGTCTTTTCACTTTTCCCGGGACTCGCTCTCTGGGTTACTCGTCCCAATGAATCAAGTCGGACGCTACGACGTGGATGCGCTTCAAAATGCCTCTTTTTGACTTGCTTCATGGGCTTACCCTTCATTTTTTCGGCCAACGATGAGTCTTGGCTCGTGATGGGCGAGGCTGTTGACTGTCGCACATTGGCGGGCTGTCGCGGCAGGCACGGTACCTGGCGAGTCTGGAGTTGTGCGAGGCGCTTGCCACGTCGCTCAGCCAGGGTTGTGTTGGGCCGACTGCTCGTAGATTTTGGAGACGATGGCCGGATACGGGAAGCGCTACCGCCCGCCATGGCCATCATCATCATACTGGACGACTGCGAAGAGTGGCGTGAATGGTGCGAGGAATAGTCTGGTCGGGGATAATATTGCATGGGCGACGCAGCTTGCGGAGTGGTATAAGAACTTTGAGCGAAGGTTAAACGTTCGAGGGTGGAAAAGTACTATACATGGTGTAAAGCGTAAGCTAACCATGGACTTGGACGAAAGATGAAGAGGTATGCATGAAAGAAGGAGAAAGATAGATTCGGCCTGGAGACCAAGGCTAATTGCAGCGAGACGCTGAAAAAGAGCCCGTCGACATGTATGTTGGAGGACTTGCGGGAGCTTGCTGTTGCCGTGGATGGGAGGGAGTGCTGGCGAAGAGCAGAGGATGGGCTGGCATTTTTACGTACCTTTTTGCGCACTGCGATGGGCAGAGCATCGAATTCAGCCTCGGTCTCTGGCGTTGCATCATATCCCGTCAGAACATTAAGATCCTTTCTGTACCGGCCTCCCGGACCCTTTTCACGCGTGGTTGAGGCTGGAACATCAGCATACTGAGCGTAGAGGGTACGCGGAGATAGGATGATGGAAGTACGTGAGGAGCGGGCGTCGGCCTGTGGCTCTGGATAGACGTCGAGATAGGACATTTGGTTGAGCGAGGTCGACTTCAGCTTCGTGTCCGAAGAGGACAGGGCGAGAGGGAGCGGCTTTGTCGGTAATGACGGTACTTGCGCGAACGACATGAGGCCGGATCTGGGAGACTCATGAAAGTTGATATTCTCGTTGGACAAAGGCTGGCTTGTTGTGGGTAAAGAGGAGATATTATGGCGCGGTTCGGATGAGTGGAATGGATTAGATTAGGCAGCGTAGGCTCGTAGATGGTCGGTGGTAGGGATCAGGAGTCTTTGTTATGGGGGATGACCAGGCCACAACGTTGTTGGTGAGTTGAGATGGGCATGAGCTAGGCCAGGGGTCGGCGGCTGAGCAGAAGGCATCCTGGATTCTCGCGCCTGCCTAGCCTTCAGGCCTAAGGCCACAAACACGGAGCCTCAGCGTGCACGAGCCTCTGGTCCACCAACACGACAGCAGACTCTACCGAAACTCTAAGCTGGTCGGGGCGAGATGGTAAGCTGAGGCCATGGCCAGCAGCTTCCCAGCAGGCCCTGGCGCCAGCACTTCATGCGACGGCTCATGCCACAGTGTATTAGAAGCGCGGTCCTTTTGGGATGTCCAGACGGGGATGGTGAGATCCGGCGACGCAAGCTATCCAGCGGATGCCTGGCGCCGAAGCCGACGTGGCACGGTTGGCCGCGCACCCCGGAAAGTGCAGGCTCGTCTCAAGATGAATATGGGGCTAGCCCACGCCGATCGCAGGAGAAGAATTCATTCGTCGGCGCCGCCGCCTGCCGCTGGTGATCGGAAAACTCCCCAAACAAACCCTGGCCTCTCCAAGCCATAGGCGGGCTGAAGCTATTTTGACGCATCGGTGCTGGACCCTGAACTCTGCGCCGCCCCGCTCCCAGGCGTCGGGGTCAACAATGGCGTGGCGAAGATAGCCACGGTCGTCTGGTGGCATGGTATTGAGGGCAGACTGTTATCACCCAGAGCGGGAGTCGGAGAATTAGCAGTTATCGCCAGCCCAGGACCGGCAGTCAGATGCAAGACGACGAGTGCCGAGAGGGATCAGTGGGCGAGACGGGACGAGCTGATATTGGGAGACGGCAGCGCTGTGAGGGCGCGCGAAAGCATATGGTCCTCCGACGCGCCCTCGTCGCTGAATAGCCGACCGGACGGGCGCAAGTTGCGGCTCGAGTGACGTGGCAGGGCGGCGCAGAACCCGTGGTCGAGTGACTACGGCTGTGGTGTGAAATGTATACGCACGCAATGCCTGTCCTGGCTCGACGACGGCCGGTGGTCAAGAAGATCGACAGCTCGTGATATTTATGCAAGCCCATCTCACCTCGCCCCAGCCCCAACATGACGCACTGTCGTCTCATTCCGCCAGTGCTGCTTTTTTGGGCCGCGTCGAATCACGAACGTCGTCTGCTGCTTCTGAAACCGGAGACGCCCTAAATGGCCTCCTGCTCGTAGCTCTCGGGCCCACAGCTATTCTTAGATGCCCATGGCTTGAAGATGCCGGCCATTGGGCTTCCAAGTTGTCGACCCCCTCGTCTCCCCGTGAAGACACGGCACGGTAACAACTTGTCAGCGGCCCGCAGTGTCGAGTGTAATGCCGAGACAGATGCACGGCGATGGCGATGGCGACTATTCCGGAGGAGATTGTCCATTTTCTTTCATGCTAATCCCAAGATCCGCCGTGATGGGCGGCCGAATTTATCTCCTCGACCGCCTTGGCTTGAGTAAAGGGCCCTATCGTGACATTTAGAATTTTGGGGCCTCGGTGCCGCTGAATCTTTCGGATATCGGTGATCACTCCCTAACGCTATATCGTCGTGGCCTCCCGCACAATCCAGACTTATCCGGACCACCACGCGCATCCCAGCAAGTGTGTCGCTTCGCAGCCGCTTACAAGGGGGGCCGGGCCGTCAAATGCAGTGGTAAAGCGTTGCCGTTGACCCCCTCCCCGGCCTCATGCGACAGCTTCACTACAGACGCCACGCCGCGACATCTTAGAGCCATGTATTGCGCCATGAATTTATATGGTTGTAACATCTAACGTCGTGTCTAATGCGCCGCCAGTTGCGGATCGAGATGGCGTATTTTGGGACGCGCATGATGCGGACTATCCATGGCTTCTCCGGTCATGGGTCATGACAGGCGAGGAATGCATAGGGGACATCGGCACATGCGGGTCACGGAATGAATATTCGTAGCCAGCTCGAATGGTCGTCTGAAGCGGCGTGTGTGGAGAGGCCTATGCCATTCTCATGCTCTACTAGCGATAGGTTGAGAGGTTCTTTCGGTCCGAATACCCGCATCGCATAGATTCAAGGCCGTACTCATCTTTTCCACCACCGTTAGACCTCGCCATCCCGCTTATTCATGGCTTCCTCACTACTAACTCACTGCACGAAGCTGCGTCCTCGGCCTTGTGGACGGGTGGTGGTGTCTCTGATGCTCTTCTCTCGGCGGCTCCAAATGAATCTCTCACACCACTCATCCGCTCTCCTCTACCGTGCCCTACCTAATGGCTAGCGGTAAGGCGCATAAGTGCTGCGGGCGCGCATAGTTGAATGCGATTCCTGCGCTGCACCGGCGCGCAAAAAAACGTGCATGCCATTCGGGCCTTAATATCTCTCCACTATTCACGTGAACGACCATCTGCCTGGATGACGGATATAAGCGACTCCCACGCTGCATGAGAGTCAGTAGAGGCGGTAATGTATGCGACACCAAGATTCCTCGCAGACCTTCTCCTACCATCGATGTGTGTGGCCACACGGAGCAAGCGAGATGAGAGGAGGGGGAGACGTTTAGCTATGCGCAAGCCTGCCGTATGGGTCACTACGGCTACTTCAACCACCTCCAATTGACCAACTCTCCTCTAGATTTCGCCCGGATGTCGGTGAATATAGAGCCATGCACCTCATGCTTGGGGACCGTTATCCCCGACAGCTTCACATAGGCGAACGGCTTCTTCAGTCTATTTTCAAAAAGAATTGGTATACTCTTCTATTTGGACGGAAGCTGTGTTGCAGATATACATACAGCCATCCTACCAAGTCAAAGGTCCCGCGTGCGCCCTTATCCGCACACCGTCTTCCCAGACACTATTAGCCTAGAGATAATCACAAGAACCCAACCAGCCTCGGATTTAATCTCTGTGTCAGTCACGTGCCTGTTACCGTCCGCTAAGATTCTAAACCTCGGCCGGACAGAGACTGGTAGGAGGGACTAGTGTCCTACTCGTCGCAACGGGCCATGCATCTAGCCACAGTGACAGTCACGACTGCCAGATGGCTCCACGACCTACAGCTCACAATGCAGTGGACTAATTCTCAAAACTACTGGCCTGCAGAACATGCGATAAATGTGTCGTCACTCGTCCACCCACCTCGTCAAACCTACCTAATCACATCATCAGTCCTACCGCCCGAGATACAGAATGGTCGTCGTCGCGCGGCTAGAACTAGCCGATTCGCTACGCTTGCCATATCACGTGAAATGTATGCGAGTAGATAGTTTGTGCGCGTATAATCCTCCGTGTAAGGCATTAGGGCTGCAACGGAGGCCGAGAAATCGGCTCTGCTAGTTCCAAGTCTCGGCACACTATGCGTCCACGGTAGCTCGGCAGAGGTGCGGGCAGTGATTGGGGTAGGCCACCCCACCTTCGCGCTCGCGCAATCTTCGGGACCAGGCTGTTATCTTCAACTGCCGAGACTACCCTGCGCCCTTGCTTTATCAGGGGTGGCCGGCCCGGAGGTCGGAGCACGGCACGTTCCGGTGCAGTGCTCCTTGGGCTCATCGATGATGTCAGGCCCCTTCTTAGCCATCGCCTCGCATCATGTTGGTCTTGTTACGCCAGGCGTGGACGGACATTGTGCCCGAAGATAGACCCGTCATTTGGCGGAGTCAAATGAGTAAACTTTCCAGCCGGAATGGTAACCAAATCGGACGAAGGCTCGACACAAGTCAGCGCACTGGTACCTCATCACTTCCAAGTTACGAAAGAATCCACAAATTTAGCACTCGCGCTCCAGATTAAACGTGTCAGATCATCATGAGCCGCGCGGAGCGGTTCAAAAATCATGACTTATATCGGGAAACCTATCGTACCTAATCTCCGATGGACATGATGAAAGCTTCGCCCAGCTCATTAGTCTATAAGGTTCGACATTATACCGGCCCATGACGTGAGCGCAAACAATATGAACCGTGTAATATTGGTTGAGATCTCAAAAAAAGAAGGGACCGCAACTATGACGGTCAGGCGTAGATTCCCGGGGTACTTTTGTGAGCAGGTGAGTCTTGCCAATGTCAGGCGGGGAAGGAATTCAGGAGTAACTGGTGAAAATTCGAGAGCAAGGCCAGGGTTTGCAGGCGAAGAAGTGTGACGAACAGCCCAGAAACCTTTTCATCATCTATAGTATATTCAGCTATTACATACTATCAGTGTTTTATGTGCATTTATAAATTCTATTTAGACTTAAGCTGTACTCACACCCTAGAATTTCCTCGCGCATACCACTATGGACCACGTTGGTTAACATGCTTAGACTGCTCTTGGCCGGAAGCATCAATCCAAGGAAAACTTTTGTCACTCTATATGTTGGCACAACAAATAACATGGTCGGATTGTTCAGCCTGGAAGTACATAGTCATGAATTGGGGGCGCTCTATGGTCCGCTCCTATTAGTGCAACTCGAGCCACAAAGAGTTCGGATGACGAGGTGACACGATACTGCCCAAATTCCTAGGTCCTAGGTCCCAGCTTTAGGCGCACTTGACGGGGATCAGGTGGCGGGATAGCTCAGGTGCCGTGGCCGCCAAATCCCTATTCTAGATTCCTAGTCTTAGCATGACTGATATATGGTCCATGCTTCCTATCAGGCAAATTCTGTCAGAGGGAACAAGGCTCATAGCTGTCTCCGACAACGACATGAGACGGTTAGGGATAGCATTAGTAGAGGGAACAATGGAGGGTCGGAAAATTTTGTTCTGAGCATGTTTCGTACCTTCTACCACTGTGAATGGTAGATGAAGACGGTCGACCACTAAACCGTGTCCTCTTCAAGATAAAGCATTGATAAACCTCGAAGCGGGGTCCCCGTCGAGAACTAAG